GTGTTTCTCTCACTCTTTTTCATATCTGTGTACACGTTCTCAACATACCGAGCAAATACTCTCGTTTTTTTTGTTAATTATCTAAAGAAAGTCGAAAATTGGCAATTCAACCATAGGCTAATTCAACCCAACATTTGAAAATGTTCCACCACTTACATTTTGATGATTTTTCCTCTCATCAATAGCATATTACGTACTGTTTAATAGGATAAAAATTGGTTTGCATCCAACGCCCATAAAAGGGTGTATTCTCTAAAAAACAGTTTTTGTGTCTAAAATGTTATCATCGAAAATGGCATTTTTGAGATTGTTTCTTCCATAAAACAGCCAAATGGCGCGATGGAAACATGAGTTTTTGTCACAATCATGCCATGAATGTATTTCTTACGGTGGCTATCATTTGATTAGATTTTCATTAATATTTTACATANATAAGTATATTCAAAATGAGGTGTTATTATGATAATTTAGTCCTATTTCGAAGTTCCATAGTGGGGTCTGTATATATACTTAAAATATATGTTTCTTCTATGAAATGATGCTGATGTATTCAAGGTATATTATGTTTTATTGTAGGTTTAGTATGAACCAACTTTTAGTCAAATTTCAAAAAATGAATTGGTGACCTCGCAGAGTATATATTGCTATTCTCCCACAAAAGCATATCATACAGTTACAACTATCATATCTACAGTGTCTATGTCTGATTCATGACAATATTTTTTTATTTTTTTTTCTTCAGAATGTCCAACTTTTCTTGGCGAATTCCAGACCTACCATCAGGATGCAGTGTTCTGTAAGACACTGCAAGAGCTTTGTCCTTCTGGGATTCCTAATCCTTTGAATGGAGAAATCAAGACATTGCTGTATATGTGACAATGACAATACCATATTGTTGGACATTAATTAAAAAGGGCATTGATAATTGTTGTGATTTTTCTGATTTGGTCATACAGTCAGAATGAAGGAAAGACAAATATCATGGTTCATGAACTTCAGATACACTTTTAAGCTCCTCTGGTACAAACTGTCATAATCTTATGGTATAGTGAAGTGTCTGTCATAAGTCTGTCTGGGATAAATACTTTAAAGTTTCATCATGTAGATTACCTTGACCTTCTTTCAAGGTCACAGGTGTCCAAAACAGGCATCAGTTTCTTAAAAACTGGTCTTGAGTCATGATATTTCATGATGATTATATTTTATTCAGTATTCCTTTGCATTGCTTTGTTTAAAAAAAAAATGTTTTAAATTGTTCCATCAAATATATGTACATGTATGTAGATATATGTAATGACAGCATACTTGTTGATAACTTTGTTGTAGTGATTGTTTTGTTAACTTTTATGCATATTGATATTTTTTTATGAAATTAAATCATTGACTGATGTAAATATGTATGTTGTTATTTATCTTCATCTTTGTATGTTTGCCTCACAACAGAAACGTATACGTCTCTGCTCACAAGTTACATTTTTTATTCCCAGCCCCTACTCAACGAAGTTTGCAGAGGATGAATAAATGGATTCGTTCTCGCCCTCCATTCCCATTAAGAAAAAGTGTTGGGTCCATTTCTGGGTACATCTAGGTAATACATGCATAATGATGGCATCAATGACACAGCTATAGGGACACTGATTAATGTGTGTAGATGCTGAATTTGACTTACATTTTAGACTCCAGTGACTTCCTTCTACATTGTACATCAGTGCACATTAAGAAAAGTTGTGTAAGTCCATATCTCAGTAACAAAAACTATTATATGGTTAATACTTAAATTAATGATGCAGGTAGGGTTGCTCTACTGAATGCATACATGCATGATGAGGATGCTTAAGCTGACCTTTCATTAAACACTTCAGTACCTTTCTTTTATTTTAAATATAAATGTAACAGGAAAGAGAATAGTGTGCTTCCACCGGGGATCGAACCCTTGATCTCCAGGTTCCTAGTTGGACGCTCTACCACTGAGCTAAAGGGAAATTCCCTCTAGCTCTAAGCTAGGAGGCGACCTTAATCCTAATGTACAATTGAACCCTGCCACACTACTCCAACCTTTTAAAATGTGTTCGCCCTCGGACACCACAACCCATGTTCTAACTCCCTGTCACTACAGGAAGGGCCACAGACACCATTTGTAACAAGAAAGAGAATAGTGTGCTTCCACCGGGGATCGAACCCTCGATCTCCAGGTTCCTAGTCGGACGCTCTACCACTGAGCTAAAGGAAAATTCGCTCTAGCTCAAAGCTAGAAGGCGACCTTAATCCTATGTACAATTGAACCCTGCCACATAAATAAACTTTAACCTTAAAAGGGAATTGCATATCTTGGTAATTGTAAACGCTGCATAGATATTAACTTTAAAAAAATGTTCAGTGTTGCAAACTAAATATATTTGTCATTATATTAGAGCAATTAAAGGTTATTTATTTGATTTGAATTATTCTGTTAGAAATATATAACCATTCACAATTGTATAATTTACCACAGAATTAAGTCTGTGAATTTACTAAATTTTGACATGGACATCTGCTATGGACTTGTCTATGAAGCAGTGGATATTGATGACAGCACGTTTTTGTTGGGTTTGAAAGTTTGTATGATTTTGTTTCAATTTAACATTCTTATCAAAAACTCCTGTTTCATTGGTATGGACAAAAACAGATAATGGTTTACTCTGATTGACTCTAAAAATAACTTGTTAGGTGGAGGAAGTTGGTTCATATTCTTCTATCTTTGACCTATGGTAATCTTGCCTCAAAAGCCACTTAAAACTCTTCTCCAAACTTCAGCTAAAATGTATATAAGAATATGACATGCACAGTACAGGTGATAAAGAATTAATTGTAATTGGGGTGGTGGTGGGGTGAGATTGTCATAGGGGGTAAGAGATTGTTAATTAAGTTACTGCAACATTTAACCTACATACTTTTGTTTTTTTTTTTTTCACTTTTGTTTTAAATGTGTGTATTGGAGTGGGGAAGAAAAGCTCTACGCTCTGTCAATATTAGACTCGCATTTAGTTTATGTGATTATTTTCTGGACTTGAGCAAGTCTAATTGTTCTTCTTGTGCAGGCCCTTAAAATGTTTCTCGCACTGTCCGAGTCTACATCAATATTGACGGCGTCATTAATATGTTCTTGAACATATATTTAATTTATGCAGTAATGAATATAAGAACCTTAAAAATACAATAGTCAAAACGTAAACAAATAACGACATTGCGTCCGTACGGTGATCCGGATGCGGTTGGGGAGCGGTCCGTGTATATTTAAGACGATCGCAGCGCAGCTTGTCGTCATAATGAGGAAACCTAACGTATTTCAACTGCTGGCTTACTCGTTTACTAGTTGACTAGCTAGCTATTTCTGAATTAAAACTTTGTTTCGAATTTCTGTTTTTACAAAAATGACGAAAGCTTCAGATCAACCGATAGAATGTACTGAGTATATAACATCACGTTAGTCTGGAATGGATTGAATACTACAAGCTAACACGAAATCGCGATCGGTAAAACTAGCATAGCATGGAATGAACACGCAATAGATTTGTAAACGAGTGCAACAACACAAATGTACATAGCATGGAAAAAGACACTTATCAACTAGGGAATTAATACAAATGAACATAGAATTAATACAAATGAACATAGAATTAGATTCAAAACCAGAAGTAACTAATTCTATAACTTATCAACTAGGGAAATAATACAAATGTACATAGAATTAGATTCCAAGCCAGAAGTAACTAATTCTATAAAAAATAATTATGGCGGTGATCCCTACCATACTAATGCATCGCTTATATTCGCTAGAAGAAATTCCACTCGANTGAAGAAAATCCACTCGAAGTAGTTTTCCTTTTTTTAAAGAATTTGAAGCATCACAAAATTTCTTTCTGGCTTAGAGTATCTTTTCCTGTCGCATCCTGAAAATCCACAAAAAGGTTTCTTTTTTTCTTTTTTTCTTTCTGTTTTTTGTTTTTATTCCATTTTCGAACATCTAAAATTCAATACATCCGGCATTTTTGAGAGTAAGATTAGAAGACTTGGCAAGTCTACCTGTAGTTAAGCTCTTCGGTAAGTTCTGTCCCATATGAAAACAAAACCGTGTCGGCCAAGAGCGAGTCACTAATTTGTATGCCAGCATTCTGCTGGAAAATCTTTCCTTCGAAATCAACACAGATATTGTAAACATTGAATTAATATCATTCTCACGATTCATCTTCAGTATATCTTATTTTGTCTTTACATCACAAATTTATTCCAAATAGTTTACTGCTTTCTGTTTGTTTCGCCTTTCTTGGATAGGAAGTATCATTAAAAGAGAGCGAAGCGATGGATATTTTTTGTCATATTGTAATTTTGCTTAATGAATTATAATACCTTGATATTGTTTAATGCATTCTAATAAGATAATATTATTATCACAGTGTCAACATACAAGACCACACTTGTATATTCAATAAACGGTCTCCGTTTCGATTTATTTTGCTGTTTTACCATAAACTTGAGATTTGAAGTAAAACAAATTTTCATGATGAAATACTTACCTTAACTTTAGTATGCATATACAATACCTAAAGTTATGGTAAGTATTACATCATGAAAATTGGTTTTACTTCAAAAACCTCAATTTCATTTCAGTAATAATTACCATAACTTTAGTATGCGAATTCGTCTTACCGTAGTGGAGGCTTCGAATCCAGGCAGACCAGGCTGACAGAACAAACTCGAGACATGCTCAAGGTAAGGAAAAAGGTTCAAGGAACCCCCCTAATAAAGCCCAGAAAGTAATTAAAAAATGGAAAACCTCCCCGTGAAACGAGCAGGTGTACCACCGTGGTGCATGATAGCATACTATTTAAAATCACTGAATTACTGTGGAGGAACAGCCACAGACTGTGCAACCACCACCGGTCCAAGGGAATATCATCCATCAGAATGAGAAACCAAGGACCGGAGATAAAAATCCGTGAAGGTAGTCTGTCCGCGCCAGAAAGACGCGGACATGACCTCCTTGAGGAGGGTCCATGACGCAGCAAGGGCTCTGATCTCATGAACTCTCACCTTATACAACGCCCGAACCTGATCATCTGAGTGGTCGTAACCGTACTTGATGACCTGAAAGATCCATCTAGACACCGACTGAGATGAGATATCCTGTTGACCCTGCTTCATGGGCAAAAACAGACGAGATCGAGGCCTGCCTGAGCGAGGCCTCCTGAGATAGCTTCCACGCGTGAAGGTGGAGGATCTCCGGACGAGAGTGCATCGTCATGGACCGAGGCTGGCGAAGGAGGTTCGCTCTGAGAGGAAGAGCCAGGGGCTCTTCCACCAGAAGCGACAAACGCTCCGGAAACCATGGCTGCCTCGGTCACAGGGGCGCTATCAGGAGGAAGGAACACTTCTGCAGCACCCTGCCCACCAGGTTGAAGGGCGGGAATGCATATGCATGCATTCCCTCCCAATCCAGAGACAGAGCGTCCACGGCCCAAGCCCTTGGATCTGGAACCGGAGAGACAAACGTTGGCAACTGATTGTTCAGTAAAGTGGCGAACAGGTCTATGTGAGGCCTGTCCCACACCTGACAAATTCCCTCGAAAATCGAGGGATTCAGTTGCCACTCTGTCAAAACCGATTGGCGGCGCCTGGAAAGAGTATCCACCAGAATATTCAACCTGCCTGGTAGATGCTTGACACAAATTGTCAACTGCATTTCCTGACAAAGAAGAAGAATGCGGATAGCGAGGGCACACAGGGTGTGAGACCTGGTTCCCCCTGTCTCCCCAGATACGCGACAACCGTAGTGTTGTCCGTAGCCACACAAACCACCTTGGAATGCAGGATCTCCCGAAAAGACTGCAGAGCCAACAGAATAGCCCTCATCTCGAGCACATTGCTGTGCTCCGAGAGCTGTTCCCCAGACCAATCCCCCGACCGGCAACGCCCGTCGAGATAAGCTCCCCATCCTGTCATGGATGCATCTGTGTACAGGGTCATAGTGGGAACCGGCTTGGACAATGGAACTACTCCTTGACCGACTGGTTCAGAGGAAGCCAGGCTTCCAAATCCCTTGAAGAAGGGACCCAGTTGGCAAGGAGAAACATCTGGAGAGGCCTGATGTGAAGTCTCCCTAAGGGGACCACATCGGCCAGGGAGTTGAGATATCCCAGAAAACTGATAAACCAACGTACCTGGACTTGAGACCGGCCGATGAAGGTCAGAGCAAAAGCCC